TCTTTACTTTACTAAGCAAATGTTATTTTACTATTCTAACGTCTCAGAGATAAAGCTGACACTGTGAAGGAGTCTATCAGAATTTTAGACAGATGCATGCTTATACTTGATTTTATGAAAGTCAAGTAGATAACGTGAAGTCTCTCAGGAATTCCACACTTTGCCAACATGCACAGCTCTGCAGAATAAACACAACTTCAGATCAGGTGAATTAATTGGCTGTTTACTCAGTTTAATTGCAGAAAAAAATAAAGATCATTAATGAGAGACACTCTAAGGTATGGCCAGAAACATCCGGAATGATTTAATGGTTAAGGATAGGATCTAAGGAAAGATGATAAATATTTATTCCAGCCTGTGTTGTTGCCTCACCCTGAAGTCATTTGGATTCATCTGGTACTCTATCTTCTGTGCTGGCTATACAGTAACTGTTTCTTATTCTCAGGAACAGTTCTCTTTCAGAGGAACCAAGTAGCTATTCCAGGAATAAGAAACAGTGTTGTAATGAGAACTTTGTTACATCATCTGTGCTCACATTGGCTTTCTCAAGCCTTAGTGCTGTGGTCAGTGCACACATTTGTCACTAAGACATTTGGAAAGTGCTAATAAGTTTCTTTGTGTATTTATATTTTATTCCTTTGATAGCTCACAATAACCAAGGATCAAAGATGAACTCATTAGGAACTTTTCTTGGTTTCCTAAAACATAAACATAAAAGTGAAGGGAGAAAAGGCTATAGTGTTTCAAGAGAGTTGTAATAACAATACTCAACTTGTTAACTGTTGATTTTAAATGGAGATAAAGTTAATACAACTATTTTACTATCTTTTTCTATGTTAAACATATGTCTTATTTAAGAAATATTCCTAAACGTGTAAAAATATTCAAATTAAATTAATCCTTTGAATTCTTTTAAATGAATTGCATCAAAATGAACAATGACAAATTACTTTGTAATAATTTTTCATTTATTTCAATACACGAGTCTTATAGATAGGGAGCATGGTAGATTGATCCCATAAAAAAAGCACATTTCAAATTTGATAATCATTTCATTACAACTCTGTTGCCTGGCATAGAATTCATAAAATACAAATAGCAACTATATTTTAGAAAAAAAAAACTTTATTATAAGAGCAAAACTTACATGGGACTAGAAGTTACTTTCTTAGCTTTCAGTTTATGAGAGGCAATATGGCATATAGTGGATGCAGAGAGCCTCTAAGATAAAAAGCAAAAACAAATAATAGTAGGCTCCATAGTGTTTAAGAATGGTATTCCTGATCTCATTTACAATAAGGTCTGCAGCTTTTTCTCAAAACCATAATGTGGCTTGCAGCATTCCCATTCACTGCACAACTGAATAATGCATTAGCATATGATTTACATAGTGCTCAAGTAAGCATTTTAGTAATTCTAGGTAATATTGCTAATGCCTGCAAGCAGCACCTTGGGAAACAGTTGATATACATACACACATTTTGGAAGAGTCATATTCAAGTGAAGGCATTCAGACATGATTTCCTTACCTTATTCACAGGCCATGCCCACATATTGAATAGGTTGAATATTTTTAAAAATAAAAATAAAACAAACAAACAAAAAGCTCGGTGCATTATTTCTAAGTTAGAAAACAATTTTACAAATCTGGAAGTTAAATCTCTTTTATTATGTAGATTCATTATAAAGTCTCCAGAAATGTGAAAAATGGCTGTAAAGAAGGCAAAGTACCTAGTATGAATTTATTCCTTAAGAATTAATTTGAGTGACGACTATATTTAGGATTCTCATAAATGTATATACATAAAATTTCACCTTTCTCTATTTTTGCATTATATAATTATTTTATTAAAATATTTTTATTTAAGATTATCTACTGGAATTTTAAAAAGTGTTAGTATCAATAATTGTCAAGTTGTTCCACAAAATAGAAACAGAAATATATTGTCAAACTCTTTTTAATGAGGCTACAGTTACACTGATACCCAAACCACACAAAGATGCAACTGAGAAAGAGAATTAAAGACCAATTTTTCTCATAAACATTGATACAACAATACTCAATAAAACACTGGCAAACTGAATCCAAGAACACATCAAAATTCATCCACCATGATTGAGTTGGCTTCATTCCAGAGATTCAGGGATGGTTCAACATATAAAAATCTGTCAATGTAATCTACCATATAAATAAACTGAAGAAAAAAAATCCTATGATCATCTAATTAGATGTTGGGAAAGCCATTGATAAAATCCAACACCCCTTCATGATAAAGGTATTGGAGAGATCAGGGATACAAGGAACATACCTAAATGTAAAGGCAAGATACAGCAAGCCAACAGCCAACATTAAACTAAATGGAGAGAAACTGAAAGCGATTCTGCTAAAATCAGGAACAAGGAAAGGCTGTCCACTTTCTCTATATCTATATAATATAGTACTCTAAGATATAGCTAGAGCAATCAGAAAACAAAAGTAGATCAAGGGGATACAAATTGGAAAGGAAGAAGTCAAATTTCCACTGTTTGCAGAAAATATGATAGTATACATAAGTGTCCACAAAAATTCTACCAGGAAACTCCTACAGCTGACAAACACTTCAATAATGTGGCAAAATACAAGATTAACTTAAAAAAAAATCAGTAACCTTCCTATATATAAATGATAAATGGGCTGAGAAAGAAGCATCACCCTTTACAAAAACCACAAATAATTTAAAATATCTTTGGATAACTCTAACCAAACAAGTGAAAGACTGTATGACAGGTCTTTTAAGAAAGCCTTTAAGGTCTTAAAGAAAGAAATTAAAGAAGGTATCAGAAACTGGAAACATCTCCCATGATCTTGGTTAGATAGGATTAACATAGTAAAAGTAGCAATCTTACCAAAAGCAATCTACAGATTCAATGCTATCCCCATCAAAATCCCAACACACTTCTTCACAGACCTTGAAAAACCAACAGCCAACTTTATATTGAAAACAAAAAGCCCAGGATAGTCAATACAGTTCTGTACAATAAAGGAGCTCCCAGAGGCATCACCATACCTAACTTTAAGCTCTACTATAGAGTTACAGTAATAAAAACAACTTGATATTGGCATAAAAACAGACACATGCATAAATGGAGTCGAATTGAGGACCCTGATACTAATCCATACAGCTATGATCACCTGATCTTTGACAAAGAACCCAAAGTTGTACAATAGTAAAAAGAAAAAACTTCGAAAAATGATGATGACATAACTGGATGTCAACATGTAGAAGAATGCAAACAAATCCATTTCTATTGGTCTGCACAAAACTCAAGTTCAAATGAATTAGGGACCTCAATATAAATCCAGTTATACTTAATCTGATAGGAGAGCAAGTGGGAAGTCTTGCTCACACTGGCACAAGAGACAACTTCCTAAATATAGCACAGACCCTGAGAACAAGAATCAATAAACGGAACTTCCTGAAACGGAGAAGTTTCTGTAAGGAAAAAATTATGGTCAATAAGAAAAATGGCAGCCTAGAAAATGGGAAAAGATCTTTCTCGACTCCACATCTGGCAGAGGGCTGATCTCTAATATATACAAATAACTCAAGAAAGTAGACATTAAAATACCAAATAATCAAATTAAAAATGGGATACAGATCTAATTAGAGAACTCTCAACAGAAGGAACTCAAATGGCTGAAAGAAATGTAAGGAATTGTTCAACATCCTTAGCCATCAGAGAAATACAAATCAATACAATCCTGATACACAATTTTACACCTATCAGAATGGCTAAGATAAAAATCACCAATGACAGCATATGCTGGAGAGAATGTGAGGTAAATAGAACACTCCTGATGTGGGATTCCCCTCTGTATGTTGTGAATGTTTTATTACCATTGCTCAATAAAGAATCTCCTTTGGCCTATGGCAGGGCAGAATAGGGCTAGGTGGGAAAACTAAATTGAAAGTAGGGAGAAAAAGAGTCAAGAAAATGCCATGCAGCTGTTGAAGGAAAAAAGATGTTAGAATCTTACCAGTAGACCACAGACTTATGGCGATACATAGATTTAAAAAAAAAATGAGTTAATTTAAAATATAAGAGCTAGTTAGAAATATGCCTGAGCCATTGGTCAAACAGTATGGTAATTAATATAATTGCTGTGTGATTGTTTAGGGCTGGGTAGTCAGAAAGTCAAGGCACAGTCTCTTCTTATACATTCCTTTATCATTGGTGATAGTGCCAACTTGTACAGTCTCTTTGGAAACCAGTATGGCAATTTCTCAGAAAACTGAGAATCAATCTTCCTCAAAACCTGGCAGTACCATTCTTGGGCAGTACCATATCCCAAAGGATACACCCTCATACTATAAGGATATGTGCTCAACTATTTTTAAAACAGCACTATTTGTAATATCCAGAACCTAGAAACAACCTAGATGCTTATCAACCAAAGAATGGATAAAGAAAATGTGGTACATTTACACCATGAAGTATTACTCAGTGGTAAAAAACAATGACATCTTAAAATTTGCAGGCAAATGGATGGAACTAGAAAACAAAAACATCCTGATTGAGGTGACCCAGGCCAAGAAAGACAAACATGGTGTGTATGCACTCACAACAAAAACAATTCAGAACCCCAGAGAAGCGAGTAAGTAGGGGAACCCTAAGAGGCACACACATGGAGGGTCCAAGGAAGGAAAATAGTAGAGATCTCCTGGGTAATCTAGGAAAAGGGCAGAAGGGAAGGGGTAAGGCATGGGTCAGGAAGACCAAGTTGGAGGAGGATGGGGTAAGGGGAGAGCAATAAAAGAGATATCTTGGTAGAAGGGGCCATTATGGGGTTAGGGAGAAACCTGGTATTAGGTAATTCTCAGGAATCCACAAGGATGACTCCTGCTAAGACTCCTAGCAATAACAGAAAGTGTGTCTGAAAGGGCCTTCCCCTTTAACCAGATTAGTGACTACCCTATTGGTCATCATAGAACCTACACCCAGTAACTGACAGAAGCAGTTGCAGTGACCCACAGTCAAGCACTGGTCTGAGCTCCCGGAGTTCAGTTAAATAGAGACAGAAGAGGTCATATGAACCAGTGGAGTCAAGACCATGATGTGGAAAACCACAGAGACAGCTGACCTGAGCTATTGGGAGCTTATTGACTATGAACTGATAGCAGGGGAACCTTTATGGGACCTAAACTAGACCCTCTAAAGGTGGGTGGCAGTTATATGGCTTGATCTGTTGGGGGTCTGGCAGTCACATCAGTAAGTCTCCCAGGAGCATGAACTGGCATTTTAGAGCCCATTCCCTCTGGTTGCATATGGTTGCTCAGCCTTGACACTGGAGGAGGGGCTTGGTCCTGCTACAAGTGGGTATGCCGGACCTTGTTGACTCCCTAAGGAAAGTCTTACCCCTCTGAGGAGTGGATGAGGAATGGAAAGGGGAGAGGTGAGGGTGGGAAGGGAAGGGAGGGATAACTGGGTTTGGTATGTAAAATGAAAAGTAATTTTTTAAAAAATAAAAAAACTATAAAAAGAAAAAAATTCCCACTTTTCTCTATTTTTGCATTATGTAAGTATTTCATTAAAATATCTTATTTAAAATTATAATGTTAAAATAGATGAAATGTATCATATACAATTATCTTAAACATGCAAATTAGATATGTTAATTAGATAAACTTAATGAGATGTGATTAACATAATATAATGCATAATTGTCTTCAACACAGAAATAATATAAAGTTATGTTTATTAAGTCAGTGTCAGTACCTTGTGGCTACAGTATTTTAATGACAATCTTATTCTCTCTGTTTTTCTGATTGTAAGTCCAGGTAAGCAAGAGAACTTGGCAGGGCAACTGAGACACTCAGCCCATGGGAAACGTGTTGCCCAGCACGAAACGAGTGACAGATGGGTTCTCCAACATGAAAAGGAAATTCTGTGTTCCTTTCCCGTCTGTAGACACATCCCAGCTACTGGAAAGACAAACTTCTCCAACTGGTTTTGAATGTCTTTGTATTTTTCCCCTCCGGAAAGAAGTGAGTTGAATCCCGTAGACATTTCTTGCAAGATCCTTCAGTCTATGTGTAGTCTCTCTGAGAAACACTGGCCGCTGTACCAATGCAATGCTTCCACTCAGTGCAAACCTGAGATTTACTGCCTTGCGGCTTTCTGAAAGACATGTTATTCTAAGTGGAGTTACACGGAAAGTGAAGAGGAAGTTAAAGGATTGGTTTCAAACACAATGGGGGTTTGAGAGATGAATCTTCCTTTGGATAGTGAGATTCGGTAATAATGATCAAATCTAGCCAACCAAGCAAAGCAGAGCTGAGAAGGCATGGTTGTGATGGCTTCTTTCTGTCTGATTCAAGTGAAAGTATATTTGGGTATAACCTTGGTACTAAAAGAATGATGGTAGAAATAGTTCTTTTCTTTCTCCCTTTCTTTCTTTCTTTCTCCCTTTCTTTCTTTCTTTCTCCCTTTCTTTCTTTCTTTCTTTCTTTCTTTCTTTCTTTCTTTCTTTCTTTTTCTTTCTTTCTTTCTTTCTCCCTTTCTTTCTTTCTTTCTCCCTTTCTTTCTTTCTTTCTTTCTTTCTTTCTTTCCTTTTTTCCTTCCTTCCTTCCTTCCTTCCTTTTTTGTCTTTTGTTTCATTGTAGTTGTTTTTGTTTTTTCGAGACAGGGCTTCTCTGTAGCTTTGGAGCCTGTCCAAGCCTGTCCTGGAACTAGCTCTTGTAGACCAGACTGGCCTCGAACTCATGGAAATCCACCTGCCTCTGCCTCCCAAGTGACACCACCACACAGAGAAATAGTCCTTTTCTTAATAGCGTAGCTGTTTTCTCTCTAGAATTCTCACACTTATCCTGTCTTTCTACAATAAATAAAAGTAGAACTTGATAATCATTATGCTTGTGCATTATATTTCGGTGTGATTTTCTAAAAATACACATTAAATTAATCTTTCTGCGTATATTTTAGAATTCTTACAGGTTGAATAATTTTATGTATCACAATGACTTTAGTTAATAGGTAGGAAGATGTTTTGGAGTATGAAAAGAATGGGTCTTTAAAGATCGTATACAGCTTGTTCATATAGTTCTCATGAAGGCAAAAGGAATCTTGGTGTTCAAGATGGCTTCATTTCTGCATGATTGACAGATCAGTGTTAGTGTATGGAACTGAGAGAGTGCTTCTGGAACCATCAGGGGAGCAGTGTCACCAATACATGTGCTGCTTGGGGATTGGATTCTCTACCAGTATGGCTGCTCTGGAGAGACCCACCACTGGAGATACTCAGGCTTCCCTGTGGCATCTCCAGAACCTTGTCTACTAAAGACTTCCAGGAGCTGGACTGAACTTTCTCCTGCCTCAGGAATCTCAGCACATCTTTCTCTATCTAATGTTTCTGTATGATTGTATCTAATGGTATATCCTGTGACCTGTGTTCTTCCAGCCTCATGCTTCTACCTATAAGTCTACTGACATGACATGTCTTCTATGTCCCATGTTGGGACTTGACTTGAAATTCTTTTCTCTTCTGAAATGTCTGTTAAGAAGTCACTGTGCTTTGGTGTCTGTAGTACGAGTAATAAAAATCCAGAGACAGATACAGGGGTTTAAACCTGAATATCAAAAAAGCAAAGCAGTCAAGTCACTAGAGAACTCTTACCTCTATGAAATCTTCAGATCAAAAGAGTCTGAGTTCCTGTGTCATCCTGCCTGATATTTCTTTCTATTGTTGGTATTAAAGGCATGCATCACTACCACCTGGCCTTTATGGCTAACTAGTGTGGCTTCTGGGATTAAAGGTGTGTGCCACCACTGCCTGGCCTGTATGGATGACTAGTGTGACTACATTGCATTCTGATCTTCAGGCAAGCTTTATTTATTAATACAAATGAAATATCACTACAGGTGTCAAGTGTAGAGACTTTGAAATCAGTCAGGCCAGACACACAGCAAACAACCCAATGTGCTAACCATGCATGTCACACAGGAATTTCATTTAATTTTCTTGTATATGCAAAGAATGTGTGTTGTATTCACTTTGTCAGGAGCATTCTGGTCATTGCTCCTGAACTGCCTATGTAATGAGGGGAAAACTTCGATCTATAAATTAGTGTAAGTTTAGTATGTTTTTTATAATTTAAAATGCCACTATAGGTAGTAGTGTTTGGATATTTTAAAAGATATTTTGGGTTCTCTGAGAATTGCCTTCAACATCCTGGAAAAATGATTTCAAAGAGATAGGGAGTACTAGGTGTCCTGGTTACAACACCCTGTGTGTGTACTCTGTGACTTTTAGGAGGAGTGGTCCTTCCTAGTAACTCTTGTCTTGATGAGTAACCATTGCCCAAGTCTTGATCTGGGCCACCTATTGAGTCTGCCTTATGCCATTCTTCAATAGCCACCATCCCTACCTCCATCAGGGAACCTCTGAACTCTGACTTTGGTTCCATTCTGCTGAAGTGGTCAATTCTGTAATGCTACTGTACTTCACTTAGAAGTATTTCATCCTGAACTTCCTGGATACAGAAGTTCCAATTCTGTTTAATTATTTCTTAGCTCTTTTTTCTGCCAAGTTATGTGTCAGAGGTGGGTACAGCAGCGCCCTAGCATAGGATTTTGTTGCAAGAGACCTAAATATTTGAAGTGTGCCTGTCTCTGTGTAGGTATTTATACAAGTTGGTGGGTGAAGAACTCTTCTGCTTTTGGACACCTTCACTTTCTATTATATCATGCATGTTGACCAAAACCCAAATAGGAATTCTAGGCATGGGACCAATAACATTTTTTCATTTTTACTTGTTCCATATTCTATATATCCTTTTATTTTCCTTTGTCTTTTCCAAAATAATCAAAGGAGTGAAAATTCTTTCTATCTCTTCCCCCCTATATTCTAACAGAAACACAAAAGCAAGAAAGCAAGAATATTTTAGTTCCTTCACAACAGATCAGCCTATTTACAGAATTCTATTTTTGAATGTTCAGAAGTAAATTATGCCTAGTTTCACTTTGTTTCTTTTGTAACAGGTGCTAATTTCAACCAATATATTTTGTTCATAAAAGCAAAAGAACAAAAGCACTCTGATTATTTACAAATATCAATTCTCATTGCAACCATTACCACCACCTTAAAGGTGCACAGTCTAGGTTTATTTGGGATTTCCTTTTAAGTGTTGGAGTGGTCCACATTTATTCTTTGTACAAAGAAAGAGAGAGAAAGAGAGACTTGGTTTTTTTTTGTTTTTTTTTTTTCGAGACAGAGTTTCTCTGTAGCTTTGGAGCCTGCCCTGGAACTAGCTCTTGTAGACCAGGCTGGCCTCGAACTCATAGAGATCTGCCTGCCTCTGCCTCCCGAGTGCTGGGATTAAAGGCATGTGCCACCATTGCCCGGCCGAGAGACTTGTTCTTAAGAAAAGCATTCAACTATCTAGTTGAAGGCTCATTAGGTATTCTGCTCCCGTGATCCAAGAACCAGGAAGTATGTGTTGTATTCCATTCTAATGAACTGTGTTGCATTAAAGTGTGCTCTAGTTTTAATCACTTCTACAAGTTCTGTTTCACAAAGAGCAGCCCAAATGACCCTCCAAAGATGTATCTGGTGGCTTGCTCCCCTCTGGGTACTCTAGTCTGAAAGGCGTGCTTCTTGCTCATTTCCCTATTTCATCTCCATATTTTGTCTTCCAGTTCCTGCATATCAGCCTCATGGTTCCCTACTGGCTCCTCAGAGTGACAGTGCTATTGTCTTCCACAGAGGGACTTGCTACTGCTATTCACCAGAGATTTGACTGGCTTTCCCCACCCTACCTTCTTCCACAGGGTGACCAATTCCTTTCTACTGAATTGGTTCTCCTACTTTTTATGTTATGACATTTTGAAAGACATAATGTTGACTTTGTTACTAAGGAAACATGTGCATGTATTCAAAGACAGTGAATAATCATCCTACAATAGAGATGTGCTACTTTGTGGAGTAGAATCTGTGACATTGTTTTCAATTCAGGAGCACTCAATCTATGTTATTTTAAAAATCTTATTTGTGACGCACAAACTTACAGTATTATCCACAGTTTAAATGGTAGTTCACATTCCCACCACAGCATTTCAGACTTCCATGGCAGTCTGGAATGCAGCTCTTCCTGATCTCAGTTTTCTTCTGTGTTTACTTTTTCTTCATAGCAGCAACATTTCATCCAAATGTTACTTTCTATTACAGGCTTTGAGTATTTACTCGCTTAGTTTCTGTTTTCGCTTTGTTTCTACAGTTCCTCATAAAATAAATGCATGGAGGTCAGAGCTTTGCATATGTTAATGCATTCTTGGTGCTTAAATGGTATCTGATATTTAGAAGATGCGAAATAAACATCTGATTGTGAAATAATGAGTCATAGATAGCTTATGCAGTCACTAAGAGATAATATATAGAGCCCAACTGATGGGGTTAAAATGGTTTCTGCAACTTCTTGGGTGGCTTGTCTTTGGGGACATTGCATAAGTTTCCTGCATCTCTGGGCTTTAAAAACATCACTCTTAATTTACTGTGAGCGTTGAGCTCATTTGTGTAGAATGTAATAGTGTGTGTCTAGAGCACAGCAAATATCATGTGTCTGCTGATATTAATGCCATTATTTATATGCTGGATTGAGACAACTACTTATAGGTTAGGGAGCCTCTCTCGTTTTATATATATTCATATTAATAAAACGAACACTTGAATGATTAGCATCAGAGGGCCAGTGGTACTATCTCGCTCCCATGTTAATGTCATAAAGACTAGAGCCGCTATCTTTGCAGTGCTCTCATTTCAAGAGAAAATGAAGCCCAGAAACGTGGAGTGAGTCTTTAGCTCCTGAGGGGTTTTATTTATGTATTAAATGGCTGGATTATGGAGAGTTTTTCAGGGTATGAGAGGAGAATCCTTTATAAAAATAGGAAAATCATTTTCCCTCCATCCTTACCTATGGGTTGGTATAGAAGTTGTTTAAAACTATTGGTTTGGATGTTATTATGTCATTAAGATAAAGGAACTAACCAATTTATTACATATTTGATTAAAAAATCTATCTCTGACTTCATAATGCATCTAGGTTAAATATGAATACTTAGGTCAAATATGAATATTTAAGATAAATATGAATATTTAAAAACAACAGTAGGAGCTAGGGAGATGCCTCAGTGGGTAAAGTATGTGGCATGCAAGTATGAGGACTTGAGTTCAAATCCCTATCATTCAAGTAAAGTTGGATGAGGAAATGAACATCTACAGTCTTAATACTTCCTTGGTAATATGGGAGATAGAAACAAGAAATTACCCAAAAACACTCTCTCTGTGTTCCCCAAGATACAATACCTCAGTTTCATCCCTATGTCTGCAGCAGAACACCTGTGTCTGCCTTCCTTACCTCCCCACATCCATCTCCTGTGGATCTTACTCAGAGATCTTTCCTTCTAACTCCACCCCCATTGCTTGGTCCTGCCCCCAACCTCACCAGTCAACCCATGCTCACCCAAGGGAAGCTTGAGACAGGGCAAGTGTAGGCTGATAGCGATTCCATACCTTTCCTTATTCTTCCCCAGATTCAAACCTCTCTGCCTCATCCCCAGCTGTGTGGCAGAAAACCTGCTCTGATCTCCCTTTCTGTTCTGACCTCATCCTCAAGGGATCACAAAGATCTTCTCCTTCAACTTTCTTTCCTCCAACTGTATCCCAGCCTACAACCCCAGCAAACATTTACTGGGAACACACCAGTTGAGCAGAGCCAGGAAAATAGGTAAGCCAGCTGAAGGCCTTCATCACTCCCTCCTTTCAGAGTCCAATCCTTCAGTCTCATCCCCACCTGTGGCAGCCTTCCTTGCCCCTCCTCCCACTCCCATCCGCAGATCTTCCCCTTCACACCTCCTCCTCCTCCCACTCATTGTTTTGTTCCAGTCCCCAAATCTGCCAGGAACTTCATGCTAACCCGCAGACAACTCCTGGCAAGAAGGCAGGCAGGGTGTAGATATTCCCTCTCTGCTTCTCTAGTTCCATCGTCCCCATTCTTATCCCCAGTGCTATAGTAGAGCCTTTGGGGTGACCTTTACTAGCTGTCTCTCCCTTCCCATTTCCAAGAAAACAAAATAAGCAGACCCTTTTTGAACACTCCGCTCTCATTCTCCTGCAGATCCCTCTAAATTCTCCTGCCATTCCTAACTATCAGCTCCCAGTACCGAGAAACACATTTTACGTAGAAACCACATTAGTCACAACTATAACGTGTAAAGCACAATGTCTGCTCTACACGCTACAGTATGGTCTGCAAGCCGGGAAAGGAGCCTGGAGATTTAAACACATACACACACAGAGAGACAGAGAGAGACAGAGACACGGGTTATCCTTGAAACAAGAATGCCAACTTCATTGTGTTTAGGGGCAGCTTATATAGGGCTCTGGTCATGCCCCAGCTCTCGGGATCTTTCAGCTGCAGCCACCAGAACCCACTCCCCTGCCATCAGGAACTCCTGAGGATCTTGTGCTCAGAGCAGCTGCAAACACAGGAAAACAAGTTGTTTGGCTCAGAGCAGCTGCAAGCAAGTGGTTTACAGGAAATTAAGAATCTGGGGGTCCACAGCCCCCAATAGTTCCCGCTTTTCTATATAATTAGACCAAGGTTCCGGACTGGCATTGACGTAGCACAGATATGATAGCAATAAGTTGGAAAATGCCCTAGCAAACCTGCTCATTCTATGTTCCACATGAATGACATTAAATTCTGGTGCCAGCTACAAGATAGTCACAGCAGCCATCTGGCTGATGGCAATTTCAACTGCCGTGATGGAGGCCACAGTGGTGACAATAGCGGCCACTCACGGTGATTCAGAAGCCTCAGCTGGGACAGCTTGGCAGTCATCCTCATACTCCAGATCCTCTCGCCTCTGCCTCCTTTAGCAAATCCTACTGGCCTGCACCACCACAACCAGCTGAGGTGGCAGGCAGGCTCGGGGATCTCTCGTGGCTACTGTGCGGGTCCCTTGGGTCCTGCAGGAAAGCCTGCCGCTAGTGCCACAGACTCTTGGGCGTGGTGCCTTCTCTACATGCTACTGCGTGCAGACCGGCAGTCCAGCAAGGTCTGAGCGGCTCTGGCTTGCCTCAGCTCTAGCACTTGTTGCCACCGTTGCTGATGCTCCTGGCACTGCCGCAGTGTCCTCCTCAGGCCCACAACCTCTAATAACAATTTTGGGAATTTGGGCAGTGTTTCTTCCTGCTGCGGAGTGAAGTAATCTGGCGGCGGGGTTGGCGGGGGAGGCGGGGGGAGTTTCACAGCAAACTTCAAGGGGACTTGGTGCATCAAACCACATTAATCTGGAATGAATCCACGGATTCTTATCTTCCGTGGAAACAAAAGCAGAACCTCTTTCCCAAAGCAACACATCCTTCTACCCATATTTTAAAGTCAAGATATGCTTCTTAGCAGTTCCCAGGATCAAATGTCTCTCTCCAGTCAAAACACCAAAAGACAACATATCGTTCACCAATGTTAAATCAGAATCAGACAAACAATTTGAATAGATCTACATCACCTAAGTAAATAGAAGCAGTCATTAACGGTTTTCCAAACCAAAAAAAAAAAAAAAAAAAATTCCCAGGATCAGATGGTTTTAGCACAGAATTCTACCAAACCTTAAAAGAAGAGTTAACAATACTTCTCAAATTATTCCACAGAATAAAAACCTCAGGAACATTCCCCAATTTACTTTATGAGACCACAGTTACACAATTACCCAAACCACACAACGATCCAACAAAGAAAGAATACTACAGACCAATTTCCCTTATGAAAATATATATAAAAGTTCAAGAAAATACAAACTGCATCCAAACACACATAAAAAGATCATTCATGATGATCAACTAGGCTTCATCCCAGAGATGCAGAGATGGGCGAATCTATGAAAATCAGTCCTATAACCCACCATATAAACAAGCATAGACAAAATCCACATCATCATCTCAGGCGCAGAAAAGGCCTTTGACAAAAGTCCAATCCCCTTTCATTATGGAGGTCCTGGGGAGATTACGGATACCATGGACATACTTAAACATTAAAAAGCAACTTCCAGCAAGACAAATTAGCCAAAGACAGATTATATGAAGAGAAATAACATAATTCCATTAAATTCAGGAACAAGACAAGGTTGTCTACTCTCTTTATACCTATTCAATATAGTAGTTAAATCTTAGCTAACAAAATAAAACAACCGAAGAAGGTCAAGGTGATACAATTCAGAAAGGAAGAAGTCAAAGTATTTTTATTTGAAGATGATAAGATAGTATACTTAAATGACCCTAAAAATATCACTAGAGAACTCCTACAGCTATTATATGCCTTAAGCAAGGTAACTGCATATAAAATTAGCACATATAAATTAGTAACCCTCTTATATATAAATGACAAAAGGACTGAACAACAATATGTTTCACAAAAGCCTCAAAGAGTGTAAAATATCTTAGGAGTAACTCTAACCAAGTAAGTGAAAGACTTGTATAATAAAAACTTCAAGTCTTTGAAGACAGACAGAAATGGAAAAAGATATAAGAATATGGAAAGATCTTTCATGTTCATGGATCAGTAGGATTAACAAAGTAAAAATGGCCACCTACTGAAATCAATCTACAAAGCTATCACAATTACAACACAACTTTTTACAGGACTTGAAGGAAATGGAAAAACAAAAATCCCAGGATACCTAAAATAATCCTGAACAATAAAAGAACTGCTGTAGGCCTTATCATTCCTAATTTCAAGTTATGCTACAGAGCTATAGTAATAAAAATGATGGCTTTGGCATAAAAACAAGCATGCTCAATAGAATTGAATTGAAGACCCCAACATAAATCTATACACCTTTGAAACCTGATTTTTGATAAAGAAGTCAGGAATATATAATGGAAAAGAGAAAACATCTTTAACAAATGGTGCTGGTCACACTGGAAGCTGGCATGTAGAAAAATGCAAATAGATCCATATCTATCACCCTGCAAAAAACTCAAGTCCAAGTGAATTGAGACCTTGGCATAGAACTAGATACTGAACCTGATAGAAGAGAAAGTCAGGACTAGTCTTGACTACAGTGTCACAAGAGACAACTTCCTGAACAGAACACCAATAAAGTAGGCAGTAAACTCAACAATTAGTAAATAGGACCTCATGAACTTGAAAAGCAGGGAAAAGAGGCAGTGGTAGCCTACAGAAAAGAAAAATACTTTTATCAACTCCATTTCTTATAGAGGACTAATATCCAAAATATACAAAAAATTTAAGATACCAAAGCCAAAATAATCTAATTAA